CAGCATGCTGGCATGCTGGCATATGATGGCATATGATCTTGGAATGGGTGCTATAGTGAGCGGTCCGCATTCCAAAGCCTTTTTTTTCTCCAAATCTGCAAACTGAATTTTTCAGCAGGGAACCCTTGTGCTGGACCGAGGCTTGACCTTTGGATATCTTAGGGGTCGAACTCAGGTATACATCATGGTAGATCCAGTTTTTCTCGGTGTGCTGCATGATGTCGCAGGAAGATCCCGTGAATGCCAAGACGGAGAATGATCTCACCGAAAAGCCCATCACTCCGATGGGTGGCTTCTCCCACTACGGTGAGGTCAACGAGGACTGGGTGATGCTCAAGGGCACCGTCATGGGCCCACGCAAGCAAGCGCGTCATCACCATGCGCAAGTCCCTCTTGCCACAGGTCACACGCAAGGTGCCTTGATGATTGAAGTGAATGGAGCATAATGGAGCGTTGGTACCCGATGGTACCCAGCTACCAGCCACAATTAATCAGCGCTGCATAGTGCTGCACTTCCAAAATGTTTGAGACCTGGACCGCTTCAGATCCCCAGGAGTTCCCAAATTGGCCCAGAATCCACTGGACAGGCCTTGGAGAAGGTGACCCTGAAATTCATCGACACTTCGTCCAAGTTCGGCCATGGACGCTTCCAGACCAGTGAGGAGAAGGCCAAGTTCTATGGCACTGCCGTGAAGAAGGCGAAGGTCGAGAAGAAGGATGGGGTTTTAATCAAATTTGGGGATGATTTGACATGATTTAACAATATTAACAACCAATTTGGGACCTAGTTTTTTTCTTTGTTTGTTTTCCTTCTTTTAACAAATCATAGCATTTGGGAATGGATCATGCAAGACCTGTGATTTCCCGTAGATTTAGGAGATGAACAGCCTGTTCTTTGTCCAATTTCCCATGTGTTTGGGTGTTGTTGACGGGTTAATGACAGGTGGTTACAAGTTATAATCCATTTGAATCCCATTTTGGTTGGTTGAAGTGTCCTCGTTTTTGGTTGGTCGAGACTAACATCCGCATGTTAAGTAGCCAAACGGATTTAACATAGTGGTTAAAGTAATCTAACGCATTTATCTTTCTGGGGTAAAATCCGAACTTGTGAACTTGTTGGAAGTTGGGATGATGATTTAAGTATGTTGAAGTACATATTATCATTGTTGATCAAAATGACTCAACTCCTGAAATCGTTGGTTCATGTTGGTTTTACCTCCCAAGGAGGAAGCAGAGGCCTAGGAGCCTTTTCCAGGTGCGTTGCGCAGCAGGAGATGTTTTTTGGCGAAGTTTCAGTGGCTTTTTTCAATGGGTCTGATCAAATGGTCTATCCGAACATGGGGGTAGCCCCAAAATTTCATGGTGTATCAATGTGTATCATGATTTCTCGCATTAAATGGCCATGATCATTATTTTTCTGGCATGAAATGGCCATGAAGTGTTTTTTGGTACCATTTCCAGACAAAGCCAAAATGGCATAATTATATATAATTATGCATAATTATTCATGTTCCCTATAGACTATAATTATCTACAGATATATTGCCATTTGGCGGTATGCCAATTCCAGGCAGACCCAAATGTTAGATGAGGGATATAAACCCACAAAATTTCGCAAAGTATCAAAAAGATTCCAAAGTGACCTATGCCTCACCGTTTCCACGTATGCGATACCCTCACTGGCAAGACGACAGGCAGACATCGAGTTAAAGTATTGGAAGTCACAAACAACCGTATTCGGATGCAACTTTTTGAGCGTTTGAAACACTGCACTTGCTTTGCGATCAATTGCAACCTGAATTCTTGTGATGCGGCTGATACTTGTTGCGGCTGGAAATTTCAACCATCTGTGAAAAGTCTGACATGTTGTGCCCCAAGGAACCGTCAAATGGTGACCGGCGATGGCTGCGGAGAAAAAAGACCAAGCCTTGTGGCAGATGCGCCATTTCTGCTTGCCATCTCTTTGGATTGCACGCTTGAACTGTGCAAATATGTTCATTCTGGAACATGGATCGCAAAACTGAATGAGGTTGCACATCACAAGAGACAAACCTGCAAACTCAGTAACTCGCAAGATTGCAAATATGTTTCTGAAAATTTGCATGTTTGGTCACCTCGTGCATTCTTGCATCGTTGGCCAAAGGTAGAGCCACTTGTAGAAGAGCCTGTGCTGATCCTGTCAGAAAGCCATTCAGTCACTGCATCCTAAGAGCACGATGAAGCAAAAACATTCAAGTAAGTGCTGCAGACTGAACGCTTGAAGAGACAATGACAATCAAGATGTTTTGACAGTTGCTTTTGACATAAGTTGCCATGCCTTGACACCCTAAACTCTAAACTGATCTCAAATTATCTCTCGCAGCCATTTTGATCCTTGAAGCAATGCAAAATTCTGTGGTCATGCGACTTTGGAATCGAGGCCCGGCTGTTCAATCCGTTCCCAGGGCGGATGCTGCCAGCAGGGCAATTTCGCAGATTTTTAATCCTTGAGATTCAAAATCCTGCAAAAATCCTGGGGTTCTCGGTGTTTACCCAACGATGGATGTTTACGTCGAACATCCAATTTTTTTGCGGCACAAAATCAATTGAGGGTCGAGGTGGAAACCGCCCACGGAAACGCTGGAAAATACCTGTCCGCCGCAAAACACACACCCACACGCCCACAATTTTCCGCAAAACTCCCCGCAAATACCAAACGCAAACCCCAAGAAGACGGAGCCAACTTGTTCAGATTCATCAAGCTTGAGAATGGCCACGCTTGGTAATGTCACGCTGCAAAATGACACAAAACACTTGAAACTCCTGAAATTGTCCCGGAGAATGAATCTCCAGTGTAAAATATGGATTATTTCAAATGAGTTCCGATCATTTCCGATTATTTGTGGGAGAATTACACGAAGCTGTGCCATGCTGTTCCATCCTGTACCATTTGCCATGCAGCTTCCACGAGTTTTCTGATGGCTCCCCTGGGCTTGGGATCCCCTGACGGTCACTGCCACAGGCAGAAACCGTGGGAAGCTGAGCAAAGAGCCTTGACAGAAGGGCACCTTTTGCCTGCGACAGGGAAGAATGGACCAAAGATAGCTGGATGAAAATTGCCGTGAATAGCAACGAAACCAGCGTTGATGATCAACTATGGTTATGTATGGTGATGTAATGATGGACACCTTTACTAAACTTCAGACATTGAATGGAATTTGATCAACCATGGTGTGATATTTTAAGAAACATCCTTGAATTTCTATTTGGGTATGGATCAATACCTATATTAATACCATTTTTAGTGGGATGAACATCCATTTACCAGCTATTTTGATGTTCACCAGGGGTACCAGGGTTTTGACCCATCCCCATTTCAATAGGCTCAAGGTGGCTCAAGGCTCAGGAATTTCATGTCACTGCAGGTCCTTGGAGCCCTCGCAAGCCTCGCTGCTCTGGCGCCGGGCCGTGCATTTTCTGCCCCATATCGCAGCGGACGTGTTGCCCGAGCTGCGGAGCAAAGATCTTCGCAACTTGGTGCGGAGAAGAAATTCAACAACTCATGTGAAATAATAGGTGTATCAATATAATATCAATATATAATGTAATAGTCGTATGCATATTAATTATATATATAATAACTTGACATAATGTGTATATTATATATTATATTATACATAGTGAATTATGATAAATTATGAAGACATGTGTATATATGTATATTGAGTATTATGAATAATATACAGAATACACCATCTATTTGTTTTTGCAGTGTCGTGGTTGGAACTTTGCATCTTCCAGTGTCGTATGTCATCTCACGTCTCTGGCTCAAGCGTCCTGGCTTGATCAACGACTTTGCCACTGAGGAGCGATGTAAACGACGTTCCGTTTGCGCTGATCTTGCCTGGATTTTTGGGAAGTTGCGAAGACTTTGAAGATTTGGCAGAAGACATGCGACGGGCTGGCTATGCTGCCGCAGTTGCTCCCATTGCTTGGTGGCACTGGGTGCCATGCATTGGTGGACGAAGCATGCGGCCCATTCTCGAACGAATCGATCATGCAGTGAATCAAGTCTTAACGAGCGATTTCAAGGTAAAGTCCCTGGCATCGCCCTCGTACACCATCATGGACTTTTTCTCCGACTTCATGTCGAATCCGGGTGGTATTTTTCAGGTGGGTGGCACCGATGATCCCGCAGAGTTTCCACCAGTGAAGCCAGCAGGTGATTTCCGCTGCGACATCCCGGGGAAAGGACAACGGATTGCAATTGTGGCCCATTCTGCATCTGGTTGGATCTCTCGGCTCTTCCTATCTTCCTTGGAATATCAGGGCAGGAGCTTCCATGGAGCTGACAAAATACATTCATTGGTCTGCCTGGGCTCACCACATTTCGTGGCAAACAACCTGGTTTATAAGAATCTTGAATATTTGGAGAGCAAATGTGGGAAGGATTTGCCTCCCAACGTTCGGTGCCTTTGCGTGGGATCCAAAGGAAATGTGATTTCTGAAGCATCGGCAGCTAGGCTCAACTTGCGTAAGAGACCCAATTGTTCGGCATGGCAAGACGAAGCAAGGGCTGGGTATCACAGGTTAGCATGCACATTTGTCACAGCATTGCTCTAAGATGCTCTAAGGACATGACACGTGGTGCCTATGAGTTCTGTGGCGCGACACCAGGGGATGAGGCTGTGGATGGTGATGGTATGACACCGCTCTTTTCGGCCATTGCCTTTGAGGCGGCAGATGCCAGGCCTAACGTGGCTGTGTTGATGCTTTATGGATTGCTGTGTTGTGTACGTCATCAAGGGGCACAACACCAGCGTCAACAAAGTGTGCTTTATGGGTTGGTCACGATGGGCACGGAAATTGTTGCTGTATAATTCAGTTGGAGAAGCCGCTTCTACTGTAGGACGACATCTACTGTAGGACGACATTTGGTATTAAAGTACGCAGAGCGCCCGAGATCACACCCGTTTCAGCTTGGCCTGTTGCATCATATTCTACGCCATGTTTGATTGATGAGCTAGCTTGGTTTGTTGATCCTGATTGAACTTGTGCAACTTATTTTTGAAGGAAACGTTGGCAAATAATATCCCAACAGGTTCCTCAAATGTACTGGTCCATCATAAAATTTGAGAATAGACTAAGATAGGAAAAGTTAGAATTGATTTGAGTTTGTCTGAAAACAGGATGCCCCTGAATCCATTGGTTAAACCAATTAATTACCCCTTTTCCTCTCATAAGAGCAATTTTATGGTATACTTGATTTTGCACACCCATTTCTGAAAGCCATTATATCTGAGGACAAATTGGTGCTGGAAAATGTCTCGCATGCTCCAGTGTATCCTGCATTTGGACCCAGCGCAGAACTTGCGAAGGAGCGCCGTACAAAACCCTGGTATGGAAGTCCATCAGTCTTGCAACAATGGTTGCCGTGGTTGACCAAAAATCCATTGGACTGATTTTTATTTATTTAAGAACAAAAATTAAATATAAACAAAATTTAAAATGTAAATATATCTCTAGTAGATATTATATAGGTTCGGATAGAGATCCAGAGAGCTAGCAAGCTCAGCATAGTGTTCGAGTCCGTAGAGGCTCAGAGAGTTCGCAAGCTCGCTATAAATATTAATTAATTATATTTATATAGCCCGAGAGCTGCTTAAGAATCCGAAAGCTTGAGACCCAGGGTCCCTCAAATTCTTATATTTTTTAATGCAGGCAAATTTACACCACAATAGGCCGAGGGTCCCTTAAATTCTTAAAGCATTCTTAGTTATGTATTATATACATTTGCACAATTTGGAGCGAGCTTAAACGAGGTAACGAGGTGGAATTGGCAAATTTAATAAGAGGCATGCGGAAAAAAACAAATTGGAGTCTGAAAATTTGTGTTTATGCAAAGCCGAGCTTTTCTGAATTTTATAAGAGCAATGCGGAAAAAACTATTTTTTAGAGCCTGAAAAATTGTTTTTTATAAAGCCGGATTTCTTTGAATTTTATAAAAATAATGCAGAATAAATATTTTTTTAATTTTTTTTTAAACGAAAAAAAAGTGTTTTTCGTATTTGTAATCCATATTAAATCCTGCCTTTTGTAATTAAAACAAAGAATACGAAATAAAAAATAAAATTCTTTGAAGGCAAGGTTTTTATAATATAATATTTAAAATATTAAATCTTAGGTTTGAAGATTTTTTGTATATATATATAATTTATATGATTTTTTATTCGGAATTTAAAAAAATTAGTTTTTTATAAAATCCAATTTTT